AGGGAGAGGGAGAGGGAGAGGGAGATGCGAGAGGGTTGGCTGCTAGGTTTAGATGCTAAGGTTTCTAAAGTGTAAATGTTAATAGTTTAATACTGATTATTGGTCTCCAGTAGGGAGGAGACTCAATGGCCAATTAGATACTTCCAAGCAATCAGTACANATATATATATATTTTAACGGGTTAACGGATTATCCGTTAAGAAAATTGAATAATCCGCCCCCAAACCGATAAAAAAATTTTAATCCGTTCCCCATCCGTTAAACCGTTAACCCAATACCAATAAGCCATTAAGCTTCGGTTTCGGTTCGGTTTTCGTTTTGAACACCCCTAGCTGCCGCACCCGTGTCGGATCCTTCAAAAATGCACTAAATTTGGAGGATCCGACACGCACCCAACAACATTTTTGAAGAGTCCGAGTAATATAGTTCCAAAGTACTTTTTTTCTTATCATGTAGACCCTACACATTCCAACTAAGGATTTATACCTTCATTTGGAATGAGCTTTTTGAGACCTGCCCCTGGTTTTTCTGCTACCGCTGCCCTCCTACCGCTGCCCTCCGGTAGACCCCATTTCAATTTGTTGAGTTCCATTTCCCCTTTGGACTTTCCTTTTTTAGAACTAGAAGGTGACTCAGGTTGTAGATGGATCTGCATTTTCCTTCTTTCGTCCATCCTTAAGACAATCCCCAATATATCACGCTCAAAGTCTACTGCATTAATTCCCAGTGCTTTGTATGCTTTTAGCATTGTAATTTTTGTCCATTTTGAAGTATCAACCACAGAAGGTTCATCCACCAATTGCATGCTTAAGTTTTCTCTATCGTGCCAAGGTAGGGGAAGAAATTCATTGAGAGAGTTATTGGAGAGGTCGGATTCCGAATCACTGGCCATTGGGGTGTTCGGAAATTGGAGCATTTTTGGAATAGATGGAACCGAGATGGGTCTGCTTCATCGTCGGCGTCGAATTGAAAGTGGGAAACATTGTCGTTTTCTTCATGAGCAATGGAAGTGGAAGCCTGTATTTCAACTGAGAGAGGATCGAAGGAATTTCGTAGTTCTAACAAAAAGGCTTTATAAGTACATGGGTCATGTTTATAGCCCGCAGCATCCCGGAGAGTGTTATGTTTAGGCCCAACATGATTCTTCCCCTTTTTTGGCCGCTAGAGTAGTAACTGTTGGCCTGGCCCACTTTTTTTAATTCCTTTCCCTTTTCATTTGGCCCAAGTCTTTTTAAAAGTTTGGGTTCCTGTTGGAGCTGGTTTGACCGGCTCTTTAATAATTAAAGCTGGGCCCCTCACTTGCACATTTTTGGATTCTGGCACTGTGCTGCTTTTTGGTGCAGGATTCGATGGTACCAAGACGACATCTACCTGCTTCTCTGCTGCAAAAGGTATTGTGTAAAGATTGATGGGTTTTGGGGTTGGTCGGCGTCGGTCCTCCGCCAAAATCGAGGTTTCAAATCTCCAACTCTGCAGGTCAAGCTCCAAAGTCGTCGGAAGTTTTCTGCCGGAATTTTTGACGCAGATTCGAGCCTAGGAAAAATGATTTCTGTTTTTTGTGTTCTCATCACCCCCTATGAATCCCCCACATCTATCACCAATATTTTTGAAATGAAATTCTCTGGTGTCCATGCATGAAGAGGAATACCAAAGATCTTTACCCAAATAGATTCCGGCTTGCTACCAGTCAAGTTTGTGCCTATGGTTGAGAGATGTCTTCCATTCCAGAATCAATTCCCCGCAATGGTTCGTGCAGCCTCCTTCTGGATGGAAACTCGAAGAGGAAGCGATTGTGGTCCATAGGTGTTACTCCTAGTTCAGGAGTGATATTCCATCTATTTAGAAACCACTTGTGTGTGGTGTCTGTGTTAGGGCTGATGTTGAATAGATCATTGAAGGTACCGATTAAACTTCTGCCGAGCGGGTGTGCGTTGTCCTTAGCCTTCGATGTAGGGATCAAGATCTCCGGCCAACTTTCTATCTTTGCTGCTTCAAAATAAGACCTGAGTAATGGAACTGGTGGATGTAATGTTCTTTGATTCTCGAAGTTGCCGAGAAAACGGAGGTTGTTCTGAGCTATGTCGGACCAGCCACTGTTGTATTTAGCTTCTGGGATAATCACTGCGTTCTTTTTTTCTCCCTGCCATACCTCAACTCTTAGGAATATGCCATAAATGTTGTAATTTTGGTAGACTCTGTAAAGAAATTGTTGTTGTGTTCTTCCCCATCTTCTGTAGAAACCCCCTTCCCCCTTCCCCCTTTGCTATCATCTCTATTAATTATGATAGTGAATCAGTTGCTTCTTTCTATGAGCATAAACTAAGCATCCCCGTTGTTGATAAGTTCAAAAGATTTTTCCCTGAAATAAAGAAAGTTTTGTCCCCCATAATGAAGAAAAATATTGTCGGAATAAAGCTCACCGGAGAGAGTTTCAGTGGTGAGTAGAGAGAAAAGGCCCATTTTCCAAGTCGGAGAGAAAAGTTAGAGAGAACATTTTTTGCCATAAGAAATTCCTTCTGTGTTTGTCAAGTCTTGTCAAGTCTCTGAATAACCGTAGAAGAAATAGGGAAGAGAGACATCATATAAGTTGGGAGTGCATCTAAAACTGAATTTATAAGGGTGAGTCTACCCCCAAGGTACAAATATTGAGATTTCCACCTGGACAGTTTCTTTTCACATTTTTTAATTACATTGTTCCATATCTCCTTGGATCTAAATTTTTTCACCCAAGGGCATTCCTAGATAAATAGTAGGCAAGGATCCTACTTCTCCCAAGATCAATGCCAATTGCTCCATGTCAAGTACTTCATTGAGAGAGTATAAGAAGCTTTTTCTCCAATTGATATGCAGTCTAGACATGCCTTCAAATAGAACCAGAATGATTCTCAGAGACCTCAACTGTGTTTCTTCAGCATCACAAAAAACTAAGGTGTCATCAGCATAATGCAAATGTTTGTTACTTCCAGGATGATGTTTTCATTCTTGGCAACCTCAAACCCATTAATCAACCCATTGACTTTTGTTATCTTGACCATGTTATTCAGACCTTCCATAAGGTGAAAAAAAAAGGAGACAAGGGATCTCTCTGTCTTAAACATCTACAACTTCAGGAGATCTATTTATGAGAATGGAAAATTTGACAGTATAAATACAATGTTCCATCCATTTGATCCATATTTTCCCAAAGCCCATTCTTGCTAGAATCTTCAGCAAGAAATTCCAGTTGACATGGTCATACGCCTTCTCCAACTTACAAAGATTTCTTGGCTTCATCTGTTTAATTCTAGAGTCCACAACTTAATTAGCAATTAAATCAGCATCCATTATTTGTCTTCCTTTGATAAAAACCATCTGTTGAGAATCCACCAATTTATCTATCACCCTTTTGAGTCTTTCTATTAAAACTTTTGAGAATAATTTGTATACACTACTTATTAGGCTTATAGGCCTAAAGTCTTTCATCTCCTTCGCTCCTGTCTTCTTGCGAATCAAAGCTATATAAGTTGCACTAAAACTTTTCTCAAAAATTCCATGTGAGTGGAAATTATAGAAAGCTTCCATAGTCCTACTTCACCGCATCCCAACATTTGATAAAGAATCCCATTGTGTAACCATGAGGACCATGGGCTTTGTCCATGGCACACATCTTTAGGCATCCAAGTACCTCTTGTTCGTCAAAATTTCTTTGCGACAACTTCTTCTCTTCTTCGGTTATAGTTGGACAGTTGACAAAATTACTAGCAGGTCTCCATTCTAGAGGTGAGTTCCCCAATTTGAACTTACTTTGCTATTAAAATACTCCATTTCTTGCATTCCATTTGTATTTGTTAAATAATCTATCCAACTCATTATTTGTTAATAAATGATCTCTTTGTAGAATTAATTCTTATACCCATCTTCTATTGATATTATTTTGTGGAAGTAAAAACTTTAAAAGCATAGTGTGTAAATTCTTTTTTCAATATCAGAAAAAAGAGGGTGTAGGCATGTCGTCATTTTCCTGAGAAAATATCCTTTGTGAGGAAATGAAAAGTATTTTTTTTTTTTTTTCAAGTTAATTCTTGTTTGGAGTTCAACATGGTATCCCAATAGTATTTAAAGCTAAGTTGCTCCGACACGGCAGCTTAGGTGTCGCACCCGTGTCGACACGACACTAGTATAGGTGTGGGTATGGGATCCGTACCGGATTTGGTCAAATAATTTTGGGTACTTTGTTGACAACGGACGAAAAAATTCGAGACGAGATACAATTTGATTCACGAAATCAGAACCAAAACTATGATAAATTTTAAGAAAATAGCATACCTTATCTATGAACTCAATCCTTTGCTTATCTAAAACTTGAGAATAAAAAAAAATCCACATTTTACAAGCTATACGTAACATATTTTTAATTATTTTTAGCCGGATCCTCGCACCCATGTCCGTACTAGGATTCATATCCCCGAATCTTAAAATTTATATCGCGAAGGATCCGACCTCTAGATCCGCACCCGTGTCGGACACCCGCACCCGTGTCCGAGCAACTTAAATTTAAAGCCTACTCGGGGTAGGGGTATTGCATTCCTAGCTTGTAATGTTGATATAGTCTTGATAAGTAGATAAGGATCTTGCCAGAAGCAGCAGTATTTTTAAAAGATAAGGGAAGACTGAAAAGTTCTAACTGAGAGTGATTTGCTGATATGGTATTGAAAAGGAGGAGGGGATACAAATAACTTCTGCTTCAGCTAACAATGTCACATGGCTGAGGTTATGCTTCCCTTACTCTGCTACCGATCGAAAAAAAAGTGTTTCTCTTACTCTGGTCTCTAGAATTGTGAACTGCCCAGCTTCTTATCAGTGTCATTGGAATCCTTTTTTATTTGATTGTTTGAATGTCATTGTAATCCTTACATATTTTGAAAAGAGCTAAAGTTTGAAGCTTGAGGAAATTCTACTGGTCTTTACTTTGTTATTTTATTTTCATTGTACACACTTTTGAAGTTCTCTGAAAGATAACTTTGCATCTAGCCATTTTTATCTAGCTGATATGCAATAATTTATATTTAAAAAGAACATAATTCTTTTTGTTGCATACTTGCCTTCATGTCAAAACATTTGTTTGGTTCATTTGTTCTCAATGTTTCTTTATTCTTTCATCAAGTCATTCTCAATTGCTTGGGAAAGGGATTATAAATGGTTTGATCACGTTCTAGGGACCAAACAATTAGAGGATCGTATTTATACTGAGATAAGAGGAAGAATTAAAGAAGATGACATATCTGCACCATCACGGAGAGGACCATACTACTACTACAGGAGGAACTTGGAGGGTAAGGAATATGTCCAACACTGTAGATGCTATGTGCCTACAAGTACAGCTCCAACATCTGTTTATGATACAATGCCAACTGGACCTGATGCTCCTCCAGAGCATATCATCTTGGATGAGAATGTCAAAGCGCTAGAGCACACATACTACAGCATTGGTAGTTTCAAAGTAAGAACATGTCTTTTGTGCAGATGTTTATAGCTATTCCTTGTCTATTGTTGCTTTATAGCTTCTTATCTTATTTCATAGTAATTTTCCTCTCTTCAGGTCAGTCCAAATAACAAGTTAGTTGCATATGCAGAGGACACCAAAGGAGATGAGATATACACTGTTTATGTTATCAATGCAGAGTCAGGAATTTTGGTTGGGAAACCTCTGGTTGGTGCCATTACATCATATCTTGAATGGGCAGGTGATGAAGCCTTAGTTTACATCACAATGGATGGGATCCTTCGACCAGACAAGGTTTTGATTTCATCTTGGACCCTTAGGAAATACTAAGTGATTTATTCCTTCAGTAACATCCAGTTCCCAACTTTCGGCTGGTATAATTTTTGATAATGATATTGTTTTTATGCTCCATGATTGTTGTTTAGTTTGGTTAAATCTCTTGAGCTAACAATGATATCTATTGTTGTCAAAATAGAAGCTAGTTATCCATCAAAAAAGGGATTCTTATTTAGAGAAAGTTGATTGAAAAGATCTAACAGTGTTGCTAAAATCATTGACAGTATATTGTTTTTGTTTGGCTTGCTTATCTTGGTGAGATGTAAAACTTATGTTTTTTCTGTTTGCCAGAAATAACTACCTCAACCTCCATCAATGTTCTACTTGATAAATCTTTTCTGTTGGCTTTATAACGAGCTTTATGGATTCGTCTGATTGGAATTCATCTTAATTTTGCTTATCCAGGTATTCTTTCTCCTGATTTATATTAGTTTTGACAGGCCTGGTTGCATAAATTGGGAACTAACCAGTCAGATGACTCTTGCCTTTATCATGAAAAGGACGAGACATTTTCTTTGGATCTTCAGGCATCCGAGAGCAAGAAATATTTATTTGTTGCATCCGAGAGTAAAAATACAAGATTTGTCTTTTATCTAGACACTTCAAAACCTGAAAATAATTTGTTGGTATTAACACCACGTATGACTGGCATTGACACATCAGCTAGTCATCGTGGAGACCATTTCTTCATCCAGAGGAGAAGTGATGAATGTTTTAATTCAGAATTACTTGCATGCCCTGTGGAAAATATATCTGCTACCACTGTTCTCCTTCCTCACCGTCCAAGGTAATTTTTAGAAAGATGACCAGTTTGTTGACATTTCAAAACAACTTCCAGGAATTGTTGAGTTCTAATTGTCAATTTGTATGTTTTTTCTTTTTACTTGTTCTTTCTTAGTTCTTACCATGATAATTAGATAAGCTTAGTGAGCTCTACTGAACCATGGAAATACTGTAAATATCTTCTACTTCCTCTATTTCAATTTATGTGTCTTAGTTTGACTCAGATGGAGTTTAAGAAAAGTAAGAAAAACTTTTAAATCTTGTGGTCTTAAAGTAAAGATGTGTATAATGTACCAAAATATCCTTTAATCTTGTGGTCTTAAATATGCATGTGGAATGTTGGACTTAAAAGAGTTACTAAATATAGAAAGAGGTATTCTTTTCAAAACAGACTAAAATCTCAAAAGAGGCAATATCATCGTGTGCTTTCAGTTTGCTCGAAATCTCAAAAGGTCTTCCATCTGATATGCTCTTTTGTATTTGGTTTGATCTATGAATTCCAGGAGTGAGCAGAACTTTGATTCTTTTATGCAATTTCCACTATCTTATCAATTCTAGCATATTTTTGGTGCTTGATTGGCCGCTATTACTCCTCAAGAAGTGCCAATAAGAAAACAAAGGTCTATAGTTTCTTTCCCTGCATCTGCCCCGGAAACCTGCTATGAATGCTTATTTTGCCGTCTTCTGTAGCATCACCAAAGCTCTATCCAACTTTACGTCGTTACAACCTGATACCTAATTTAGGCACATCCCTGCCTATCCAAAGCTCCCCAAAAGTCATTTTATATCTGTTGAGCTTAGATTTCCACTAACTTAACAAACCTGGGCAAAGTCCTTTTGTAAATTTCAAACCATAGGAAATGTGCAAAGGGGTTGGAAAAGATATTCCACTTCTTCATGCTCTATTTTTCAAGTAAAAAGTATTATAGTGCAATTTCATGATTATTGCTCATTAAATTTGGTTGTCGTGCAGTGTCAAGCTCCAGGACATACAACTTTTTACGGACCATCTTGCTGTTCATGAACGTGAAAATGGTCTACCTAGAATAACTGTATATCGCCTTCCTGCTGTTGGAGAGCCACTAGAAAGACTTCAAGGTGGTCGTGCTGTTGATTTTGTTGATCCTGTTTTCTCTGCGGATCCATTAGAATCAGAATTCGAATCCAGCGTACTCAGGTTTTCTTATAGCTCAATGAGAACCCCGCTTTCTGTATATGACTATGATATGGACACAGGGGTTTCGGTGCTGAAGAAGATTGAGACGGTGAGTTACATGAGTGATTACTGACTTGTGATGGTAAATCGAGTTGGTTTTATTATGCGTCTAATGTATTTACTCATTATAGACTTGCCTCTTCTAAATTTTGTTTTTGTTTATGAGCACACCTTTTACATCAAACACAGTCTTACTATCTGTTAACTTGTACTCCCTGCGTTTCAATTTGTGTGAACCTATTTGACTGGGCACGGAGTTTATGAACTCACTAAACTAATAATACCACTGCCAGTAAACTACATCTGCCAACGACTAAACTAAGAAGGCTTTCCCTGCAACTAAACAGCTAAACTAGTAAACTAGTAAACTACAGCAGTACAACGGCTCCGACCAAACATCTGCCAGACAAAAACTTAATACCACTGCCAGTTAACAAATACCACTGCCAACACATAAAGAGCAGCACAACAAATAAACTTAATGGCAACAACTAACATGCCAACAAGGCAGTCAACAACATAACAAATATCACAAGCCAACAAGGCAGTCAAGTGCTAATGCTTACTACTGACAATAAGAGCAAATTGTCTAATAAACTAACACATTAAGTTTAAATAAGTCTAATAAATTCAAAATAACACAACTTGTCTCAAATCAACTTAAATACGAATTTCTGGAAGACGCTCAAGACAACCCCTGACATGCTTCCTTAAACCATATGTGCCATCCCTCTTTGGATGAACATTAAAGACTCGACCACATGGCTTGCACTCTACTTTGCGAACTTCTTCGTTATCTTGTACCACCTCAAAGTGTTCCAAACATGTGAGCGCACTTTAGGAGCACGGAGCATGATTGAACTTGAACCTAACAAAAAATAAGATAAAATGATAAGTTAGAATATAATTTTTTGATGATAAAAGAACAAAACTACAAAAGTATATCACCAAACAAATAGAGTATTAAACTTACCACTCAAGTTGCAACTATACATCAACAATGCTAGTAATGCTTCCATTATTTTCCATATCTAAAGATAATTCGACCAAATATGTCATACAACATAAACAAGTGGAATATATTATTTTGAACTAAAACACAAACAAATTATTAAAGCTTACCAAGTTCAAGTTCCTCAAGATACTCACACTTTCTTCAACACTAATAAAATTCTTCTCTTCTCTAAGCCAATCTTGAACACAAACAAGAGCTTGCACGCATTTAGGAGTCAATGAACTCCTAAATGAATCAAGAATGCGGCCACCGGTGCTGAACGCACATTCCGACGCCACACTAGAAATTGGAATGGCCAACACATCACGAGGCAACTCTGAAAGAATAGGAAATCTAGGAGCATGTGTTTTCCACCAACTTAAGAAACTTTATCATGTTCCTCGCATTCACCCAATCATCAGATTCAAGAGGACCTGCACTACTACCGTCTTCACAAAGATGAGAACAAAGATAGACAGAAAATCCATCATAAAAAAGATGAAACTTGTAAAAGGCCTTTTCAAAGTTTTGCTCCGTATCCAACATCAAATAGGTGTAATTCCACCTAGTAGGAACATCCAAACACAATATTTTGGTACATTCTACCTTTACATGTGTACAACACTGTTTAAACTTTAAGGTCCTTGCAGGCGATGATCTCACATACCTCACATTATTTCTAACATGTGTGACAGAAACAGCAATTTCTTTCAAACCTTCTTGCATAATTAGATTAAGTATATGAGTCATGCATCTCACATGAAGATGCTTACCACTCATCATATTAATTTTCCACATATCTAACTTTTTAGACAATTCTATGATTGTGACATCATTTGAAGAAGCATTGTCCACGGTAATAGTGAACACCTTGTCTAATTTCCATTCAAGCAAACAATTACAAATAGCTTTAGCCATCTCTTCACCCTTATAACTAGTGATATGGCAAAAATTTAGTATTCTTTTCTGCAACTTTCAATCCCTGTCAATGAAGTGGGCTGTCAAACACATATAATTTATTCTTTGCAATGAAGTCCATGTGTCTGTTGTGAAGCAAATTTTTGGTTGTGCTTCTCTAAAAGACCTTAGATTTTGCTTCAATTCACCGTAAACTTCATAACAATCCCTTGTTATTGTTCTACGAGAAGGAAGACGAAATAGTGGTTGAGCTATTCTCATAAACTTCATAAAGTCTTCCTTTTCTACAAAGCTAAATAGTAATTCATCAAGAACTATCATCTCAATTAAAGCCCTTCTAACCACTTCTTGATCAAATTTCCAAAGCGATCCTCCATCCTTTTGGCAAGATTGAAAGTTTATCCTTGTTTGACTATTATCTTTATCAATGTTAGGGGGTATTCTTTGCATCTAATTAAATGATTTCTCATTCTTGTTGTTCCATTCCTGGATGAATATCAGCATAAGCTTGCTTACAATATCTACACCTCGCTTTACCGACCCCATTTTCCTCAAATTTATCAAAATGATTCCAAACAATGGATCTAAGATCTATGGCTTTTCTTTCTTAGAATCTTGAGTATCAATTGTGTGAGATTGCTATCTTCAGTAATAGGTAAGCTTTCAGTTGAACCAGCATCACTTACTCTACTTTCATCCGCCATCTATACAAAATTAAAACAGATACAAACACAAATTGAGACTAGAGTTGAGTTTAAATAGAAAAATAAGAATTGTGTTGAACAAGCTTGTTAGATAATTATGTAAATAATATGAATTAGTCCTAGTCCCACATAGAATAAGAGTATGATATGTATTGTATAAATAGGGAACATTGTATTATAATTGAAGATCAATAAGATTTTTCTCCCGTGCATTCTCACATGGTATCAGAGCATTAGTGAGAAAAGATCGCTGTGCGTTATTCCAGCGTTAACCGGGAAGAAAGAACTTAGTCATCGTGCAATTTTTCCGGTGACCTAAGGCCTGTCTACGTGAAAGTTACTTTCTGTCGGTGTTGTGCAAAAACCAACACCACCACGAGGTAGATCACCCTCTGCCGACCAACCCTTGAAAATTTCTCTGGCAGAAAAGCTGCCACGCGCCTCCATGCGTCGGCAACAGAAACTTTTCCGGCGAAGGTTCCGACCCAAGCAAGTCCACTTCCTTCCTTACCTTTAGATTCAGTTCTTTATGTTCCCGGTAGTCCTTTTAATCTCATAGCCGTTAGCCGCTTAGCCAAATCACTTAAATGCTCTGTTTTATTTCTTGATGACCTTGTTTTTATATAGGAACGCAATACAGGGCGGATCATTGGTACCGGGCGTGAATCGGATGGATTTTATTACGTTATCCTTGCAAAATCACATGAACTCACATCTTGTCTTTTTTCGACAACTTGTCCTGTTACTGATTCACCAGATTTATTACATAAACGGTTGGGACATCCCAGTTTGTCAAAACTTCAAAAAATGGTACCTGGCTTATCTCACTTGTCAACTCTAGAGTGTGAGTCATGTTAGCTCGGTAAGCATACCCGCTCCCATTTCCCTCGGTGTCTTGGTAATCGAGCAGAGTCACCTTTTACTTTAGTCAATTCAGATGTTTGGGGTCCTAGTCGGGTTAGTTATACCTTGGGATTCCGCTACTTTGTCAATTTCATTGATGATTATTCCAGGTGCACTTGGATATT